AGTACACAACCTTGTACAGAGGTGTCGGTGCTCGGCGTGGCTACCACAGGTTCAAGTCCAGACCTGCTGACCTTTGCAGCATGAATTTCCCCTCTCTACAGTCACGTTTCCTATTTGCTTACTTACTTTTTTTAAAAAAAGACTAAATAAAGGCCACTATTGCCTACAAAGTAGTAATGTATTGCGCTTTTTAAGGAAATGATTTTAAGTTTTCCTGTTGTTATCTAAGGTATATGGAAAAAGGAAATTCAAAGGAGATGGTTGATTGGAGAACTTTATTGTAGATTTTCAATCAAATAAATGCTAATAATGATTAGTAATAGTTATCAAACAACTAATATACCAGAGATCACAATTTAACAAGGAAAACATGATGCATTCAAATACATTTATTTAGCTTGCATGTTTCAGTTCTAATATCAGTGTGAATTTTTATTCACAAGAAAAATAAATCATCAGCAATGCCTTTTAATATTTGTAATAAACATTCACGAGAGGATACAAATATGACAGAAATTTTACTCCTTTATTTTAAGTGTTTTAATTTTGTTTGCAAACTTTAAGAGTGCTTTAATGTTCTTCTACTCAGTGAGCAGCAGATGACCAGAGAAGAAGCTGTCTGTGGTCAGTCCGGTGCCTCCATGGTTGGCCACCAGCCACACTCTGTCTCCCCTCTCCAGCTTGATGAAGGTGCTGCCACTGGCTGAGATATAGCCACTGTGGCGGGTGGTGAATGAGTGCAGAATTAGCTCTCCGTTACGAAGAAGATCCACGCTGCCTGCGCTCCCATAGATGATGCAGTGGAACTCAAACTCATAGACTCCTGGGTGCTCGCAGGTGAAAAAGCCGGTCTTGCTGTCATAGCTGTTCTGTCCATTGTAGATGACATCATGGAACAGGATGGGGCTGCCAGCTTTGGGGTAGTTGTTACCGAGGCGCACAGAGAAGGCAACTTTATCAGCGGTGCCGGGGGGTCCCTGTGGTTCTGGTGTACCTGGAGGTCCTCTGGGTCCTGTACAGAAAACCACACAATCATCATCACATTGCACATGAAGTATAGTATATCACAACCTGTTCTGCATAAGTAACATGGAATATAATTTTAAAAAGATGTTAAGCATTTACCTGCTGGTCTGGGAGGCCCACGTTGACCTTAAATGGGAATAAAGCAAAGCAAAAAATCTTTATTTTTCACACAACTAAAACATGTGTATTAAATCTGTAACAAACAAAAAAAGAAAATTATCAACCTAACTATTCATATATCAGACAAACATAGGTAGATATTTAACTGTATCTCCTCCATCTTTATCAGATTGTCAAAAATTTAATGAGAAGATATAAAAGCAAAGGTTAATCACTGAAATACTAATTGTTTGAGCTATGTGAACTTGAAATAAACACGTACCATAAAGAAAACTGTATTTTAAAGTGATAATAGAGCATCAGTAACAACAGCTATCAATTGTAACTTGAATTTTTTTACCTGTTGGTGATTGTGGTTCCTCTGGACCTTCAGATAGAGAAATAAATCAATGTATATCTCATATGTGAAATTTCCAAGAGGCACTAGTTGATAGAATATGTTAATGCAAACATACCACCCTCCCTCCATGGATTGAGGTCAAATGCAGGGATGTCATCACACTGGGTGTATCCAGAACCGCGGGGTCGGTACAGAAAAGGTTTCTCAGGAACCTCAGTGATCCCTGTGTTGTCACAGATAATTCTGGCCAGAGATGAGTCCCTCAGGGCTAGCCTCTGTGCATCTGTGAAGAAACCATTGTTCTCCCACCAAAACCTGACATGAGAAACATTGCCTTAGTTTAGTTTTTGAGGATGTAAAAAAACACACAATATGCAGTGATGTTTAGATCATAGTTTAGTCAATATCTGTCTACTAACCGGTCTCCCTCACGGATCCTCTGGAACTGAGTGGCTATCAGACAGGCAAACAGGGGTCCCACTCTTCCTCCGCGGACAAATGGCTCAGCTACACCTCCCAGCCATGGGTCGATGTTTTCAGGTGTACCATACAGGTCCAGCAGTCCTTGAGCCAACTCTATGTTGTTCATCACGTCAGCCAACTCACTCAGAGTCCTTGGCTGTGACAGGCCACAGAACTCTCGCCATTTGTTGTAGCCTAAAATAGGAAGGAATAGGGTAAAACATAATTTGTGAACTGTGGAAATTACTTTAGCCAGAGCTATAGGAAAGCTGAATTAGAAATTGTTCATTAACAATTAGTAAATACCAGGAAGTCCATGGTCTCTTCCTCTCTGAAGGTTTAGAGATCCCAGATCCAGAGCCAGCTCTACAGAGAATTTAAACAGTCTGTCCCTCAACTCCTCAGTCAACATGTGACTTTGTGTGTTCAGCTTTGCCTGGCGACCTATAAGGCCTCTCACAATTGGATCCAATCCACCTGAAGAGACATTGAAAACATTTAGTATGTTTT